TTTAGGACCGCATGCGCACATATTTCGCTGCGTGTTAGGTTACGTACGTATGAGTGTTGCGACACTTCCGATACACATACCTAATGCACCCATTCCTGATTGTTTTATTTAATCGATGAATGAAATTAAAATATTATTATCCGCCTTCGTTTTGACTTTTTTTTATATTATATGTTATATGTATATGTATGTATATATTAATATATTTCATGTTATTTGTATGTATTATTTTGGGTTAAATTTTACACTTTTGTTTATTATTATTTATTTCATTAGTGTCGACACCGCCTTCCCCTTCATCTGTTTTATGTAACTGTCCTCTCTATAGGTTGTCTGGAAGAGATCGCTTCATAGCGATAAGACCGCCTAATTGTACCTTATGTGTTCCTTTTCTTTCTGTTTCTTTTTACAATGTGGTGTGCAATAAAGAGTATTTATTATTATTATTATTATTATTATTATGTTATAATAGAATTGAGAGCATTTTATTTTTATTAACTATAACACTAGTTGAGTAGGTACCGTCGAGCCACGATCTCGGGGGTCTGGGTTCTATTATCTACCAAGTCGAGCAAAGATGTATTTTATTTATTGAACATAACACGAGATTATCAACCAGTATTTTCTATAGAATGCATAATTAAGCCAATAACATAATAATTTAATGTATTCATTTAGACAACACACTGATTAATGTGATGGTTTTAAAGTAACATAATAATTTAGATAAAATTGATTTCTAAATTAACCTGACCAGGAATCGAACCGGTGACCCACTGTGTTCAAGTCGATACATCGCGCTATCCACTACGCCCTCGGGTCGTCAAACTTGATTACATTGATTGTAACTTTGCTTTGCATTTGGTAACAAGTAAAAATCATCTGTTGTACGTTATTTTCGATCTTAATGTCTTTTATAAACATTATTTTTTTTAAATGTATTTGTTATAATAAACCTATATTATTGACCAAAGTGGAAGTTACCCGATGGGTGCCGTAGCTAACTTTATTTGTTACTTATCTATTTTTTACATATATTATACCTAATTTAATTTATCGTTTTATATTTTTACTAGCTTTCCGCCCGCGGCTTCGCCCGCGTGGAATTTTGTCTGTCACAGAAAAACTTTATCGCGCGCGTCCCTGTTTCAAAAACCGGGATAAAAACTATCCTATGTTCTTTCCCGGGACTCAAACTATCTCTATGCCAAATTTCATCAAAATCGGTTGCGAGGTTTAAGCGGGAAAGCGTAACAGACAGACAGACAGACAGACAGACAGACAGACAGACAGACAGACAGAGTTACTTTCGCATTTATAATATTAGTTGGGATTGGGATATTACCAAAACATAACATAAAAATAAGCTCCCGATTTTAACCTGATTGATGAGAAGGATACTTACTTTAATAAACATGATATTAAGAAAAAAATATTTTTTAACTGAACTTTATAATTTAGGTCAATTAAATAATAAATACGCAAAGTATTTTTCACTCGCTACCTATTTGCGTTACTTGCAAGAATGCACAAATTGTAGCAGTGCTGACTTTGCTATTACGCACAGCTAGGGCCGTCAAAATTTCTAACAAGACATACGAGTCGTAGCTCTCAAGTTCGCTCGCGTAAAATTTTTCAGCTCAATTTTTTTTTGATAATTTGTATAGTNCTCTTAATGTGTCTTTCAAACTACGTATTTTCAGAATCATCATTTCAGTTTAATATTTTAACTCTATGTAGACTGGTACCATTTATCTACGAGTAGATAGGACACAGTTTGTCTCTTTTGATCCAAGTTAAATCAACACTGACTTGAATGAAATGAACTGAAACTTATTTTTATGTTTACATTGAAACATTTACCGGGGATCTCGATCATAAACTAGCAAATTAAGCTCAAATATCTGGTGGTTCACACGCCACTATGCGGTCCGCCGTCATTAGGGCTGCACACCCTTTTAACTTAAAATAAATATTTAAGTTCAACGTGTGGAGTTAAAAATTAACGCACATGCTCGTGTGTTCCCGATGACAGCGAATACAAATACAGCCGTGTGATGGCGTGTGGCCCAAGTTTTTACAGGCGGCGATTTGGTTATTGACTTTGTGCATCTATAAAATTATCTGAATTGATGTAAACGCAATCTGATTTTCATGAAGTACAAGTACTTAAGTTTCCTGCAACAACACGTCTTTTCTCTATCTCTTTTTAGGAATTTCTTGCTTTTACGGTGATCTACCACAAAACCATAAAAATAATTAATTCCTTATAGATATTTCAAGTAGAGCGTTCGTAAAGAACAAGCCCTAAAATTGTGTGTTTAAAAGCAATTAAAAATCTTGCAAATCATTGACTCCTCATGACTGACGAATGATTCGTTACTTTAAAGTTTTTATGCGTAAAAGCCTAGGCGCAGGCCGCAGACCACCAACTTTTAGTTGGTAGATAGTTGGGCCCCATTCTTATTTGTATGAGGAATCGGCCGATACCAAATCGGCGTAATGTGCGCACTTCCATACATGCCCATACTGATTAACTGCCCGACTAAACTATCGGCCGAGAAAAAGTTGGTGGTCTGCGCCTAGGCTTAAGAGCGTTTACGCCGTTTGGCGCAAAAACAGTACTTTTTCAACTCGTTACAATCATTAACCAGTAATACTACAAATATGTTATAGGCATAAATAGTTAGGCAATTTCGTCGTCTAAATAGTTAATTGAGAAAATATTGCGATTAGTTTAGCATTTAAGAATTCTATCAAGATAAGTCCACACAGGTTTTGTAAATTTCCACTTTAGCGTCAGTTTACAAGCTGAAATTTTTATAAAAATACTGTGAAAACGATTTAACAAACATTTATATCCTATAGCATAGATCCTTGGGCAAATAGTTATCTGAGAAAATTTTTAGATTTAAGCATTTTACAATAAGAAATCACAAATTAAAAGAACGTGAAATACCCAAAAATCAAAGTGATTTTTTCACCAATATTCTTCCTTTATTCAACACAAAAATAGCTTAATATAATAGAAGAATATCTTATCTAAAATATTTACTTTGAAATTTAAAATAATTCATTGTATTTGTTATAATAAACCTATATTATTGACCAAAGTGGAAGTTACCCGATGGGTGTCGTAGCTAACTTTATTTGTTACTTATCTATTTTTTACATTTATTATACCTAATTTAATTTATCGTTTTATATTTTTATATTACCAAAACATAACATAAAAATAAGCTCCCGATTTTAACCTGATTGATGAGAAGGATACTTACTTTAATAAACATGATATTAAGAAAAAAATATTTTTTAACTGAACTTTATAATTTAGCTCAATTAAATAATAAATACGCAAAGTATTTTTCACTCGCTACCTATTTGCGTTACTTGCTAGAATGCACAAATTGTAGCAGTGCTGACTTTGCTATTACGCACAGCTAGGGCCGTCAAAATTTCTAACAAGACATACGAGTCGTAGCTCTCAAGTTCGCTCGCGTAAAATTTTTCAGCTCAATTTTTTTTTCGATAATTTGTATAGTGGATATACATATTTTTATCGACTATAGTAAGTAGTTTTTTTTATTTTTGTTTTTTTAAATCTTTTAAATATTGTTTATACTAGGTACTCATCCAACTCATAAAATTTTGCATACACATTGTCTGGGTACAAAATAGATATAAAGGTACCTCTCATTCTCAAAAAATGTACTGTTCCCGAGGATACAATATAACTTTTAGGTGATCGTTCGAAATAATAACTTGATCTAGTAACATAAACTCACCGACTGAAAAACGACATCTACACACGTATGTAATTGAAAGCGTAGCTTAATTTAATTGATTTAAATTAAAATATTAACATTTTCAATAAATAATAATATCCTTGAACATTTTTACACTGCGCCTCTAGTCCCAAACTAAGCAAAGCTTCTACTTTGGGTACTAGACAATGGATAAAAACATACTTAATTACTTTTTGTAAATATATACATATTATACATAGAAAACACCCAGTCCAATACAAACAAATGTGTTCATCCAAACAAATGTTTGTACTGTGCGGGAATCGAACCCGCGACCCATGGCATAGTAGTCAGGTACGTGAACCACTACACCAAATGGCTGACAAACATATAGGTAATAAATAAAGAAATAATTGTTATTAACCATCACGTACGTACGTACGAACCACATATTAAGCATTAATACAATGTTTTCCGTGCAAAACTATTAGTCACAACTAGTGATGCAACGAATACTACTTTTACGAACATAGATATTGACAGTTAAAAAAAGTATTCGTAATTATTTATTCGCCGAATACGAATATTAGGTAAATGTTCCCACTATTCGACGAATACGAATATTCGTATTCGTTGCATCAGTAGTGACAACCCTAACACATTATGTTGACTTAACAAATTATTTGCCAATAAAATCGGGAATTTTTCGATCAGTGCCTCATTTTGTGCCTTACAAGTCCGCGCTTCAGATTTGGCTGCAAGAAGTACAAAGTAAAGTGAAGTTGTTCCTCGAGCTCTACCACGCTGCTCTTCTACAGTTCATAGTGAGTTCCATCCTTCTACATACAGCATTCAAAATGTAAGTTATTTCAAGTATTGAAAATATTCTAAGTCCCAACTTAAATTTACCAATTTATCAAGCACTTAGAATATTTTCCACTGTCTCATTCATGAGTAATGAGCAAATCTAGTGTCTGTTTGCATTATGTTTATAATTGAATTTATTTCTTTTTGTAAACCTATAAAGTAACTGCTAAAGATGAGAATGAGCAATCATCTCTGCCAGTGTTCTTCGAAAACCTCAGAGATAAGGTAAAATCTTTAATTGATAAGTCTCTTGCCTCTCATATCTGCGTCAAGGTTAACTTCGAATTATATTTGTNTTAAATTTATTAAGCACTTAGAATATTTTCCACTGTCTCATTCATGAGTAATGAGCAAATCTAGTGTCTGTTTGCATTATGTTTATAATTGAATTTATTTCACAGGTCTGACTCTGAGTTCAGCGACAGCCCATCAGTGCAGATCGAGCGCCAGCCCAAGCCCAAGAGAGCCAAGGAGCTGGCCAAGCGCAAATCCTCAGCTAACAAAAGCGTTAGCAATTGCCGTTCAAGGTATTATATTTATTTTTACTAAAATCTTTATAATGACTTCTGTCTCTTATCTTTTCTGGGATCCATAATATTATAATAATATCATTCACAAGAAAGTGTTAAAGTACCTATGTACGAATCTGCCCAGATATTTAAGTATCTTTGTAAGTATTAAAGAAGTGACGATAACCGAACGGTTGTTTATTTCACAGGTCTGACTCTGAGTTCAGCGACAGCCCATCAGTGCAGATCGAGCGCCAGCCCAAGCCTAAGAGAACCAAGGAGCCGGCCAAGCGCAAATCCTCAGCTAGCAAAAGCGTTAGCAACGACCATTCAAGGTAATAAAATTATTTTTACTAAAATCTTTATAATAACTTCTGTCTCTTTTCTCTTCTGGGATCCATTATATCAATCACAAGAAAGTGTTATAGTATGTACAAATCTACCCAGATATTCGAGTATCTTTCATAAGTAATAGAGAAATGACGACAACCGAAAGGTGAAGGTGTGGGTTCGAACCCTGCTCGACTATTAATTAATCATCATATTTAGCTTACAACTACAGGATTAAGTAACTTGTACATATTTACAAATTGTTTAGAATGTCTGTTAACACAATGCTTTTAATATTTTTCAGAACCAGTAAGAAAAAAACAACTGGCGTTTTCGACGTGTTCAACCTACAAGACGGTGAACCGGTCCTCGAACGACGTAGCTCAACGAAGCCAGCGTCGGTGTTGTACAACCGCGTGGCTAACGGGCAGACGCGGCGCACCGCGCATCTCGACGGCGCCTTCTACGTGGAGCTGAANATATAAGTGATACGAGTTACAAAATGAGATCAAGTAATGATATAATGAAGGATGATAGATGATACCCTTTCCCACCCTTTGAGTCTCAGTAAAGTTGTGGTGCTTTACTGAGACCTCCTATGGACAACTTGAGAGAACCAGAAGAATCACGATGCACTGTTTTGCTTCACTTGCCCACACCCATGGACGTTCACGAACACTCAATGGTTAATAATCCACCATTATTACACATAAATAGTCGCTCACACACGAATTTGAGAAAATAAAACAAAATCTTGTCAAACTAGAATATAAAAGAAATAAAATGATTTTTATTATAATTTACAGCATTTTTATTTACTTACAAACAGTCGCCCCAAAAAACCCGAAAAACCCGAAAAAACCGGTTTAGTTCGGTTTTTAAAAATAAAAACCGAAAAAACCGGTTTTTCCAAACCGCTCGGTTTTTGCATGCCCTAGTGTTCAACGCGGCGGACGTGGACGCGGGCGGCGACGACCTGTGGAAGAAGTCGTTGCTGTGGCTGAAGCTGCGCACCGACGAAGACACTGCGCACTGGGATCGGATCCAAAAGTTTGTGAGGGAGGCTAGCTCTCTGTTCAACGAATCGGAGGCCACATTGTATTCGAATAACATTAAATTTAAATAGGTGTGTAAATTACATTTATAAGCATCAATAAACATACTTATTTCTATATCAAGCGTTCATTAATAACCAACATACATTTCAATACATTACATAATTAAATTAATTAATTAATTGCGGTCAAATACCTGCCTTGGTTAGCATAAAAAAAAAAAAAAAAAAAATTAGCATAACTTTGAGTAATTTATTTCATTAGGTAATTAATTATGCCTTTCTGTTCAGTCTGTAGTGTGACTGTGGGTAACAAGCAATGGATAGGGCACTTAAGAAGTAGAATACATAAACAACACAGTGATAATGTAGTAAGCTCAGACCACGGTATAGAACTAGTCAACTCCGCTTTTCGCAATCGTATATCCACCTATAAAGTAACTGCTAAAGATGAGAATGAGCAATCATCTCTGCCAGTGTTCTTCGAAAACCTCAGAGATAAGGTAAAATCTTTAATTGATAAGTCTCTTGCCTCTCATATCTGCGTCAAGGTTAACTTCGAATTATATTTGCTGTTTTTAATGATAAAAAATAACAATACAGAATTAAAGTCATTTGGAACTAAAAATATAACAATTCACTTAAATTATAATTACAATATGTTATTCTCAGATTTAGTTTCCTATTTAATGAAGAAGGTTAGTGAGTTTGAGGAACAGGATAGCGGGTGGACATTACTCAGTAACAGTCATATAGAAATTAACATAAATAAATACCAGCCGCTTCGCGGATCAAAGTTCATTGATTTGCCTCTACACATTAAAAATAAAAAGGCATGTGTAAATATTCGTAACGATGACATGTTTTGTTTCTTGTGGTCGGTCACAGCAGCTCTTTATCCAACCAGTAAGAACGTTCAGAGGGTATCTTCATATCCTCATTTCAGTAATCTGTTCAACATTGACGGAATGTCTTTTCCAGTATCTTTTACTGATATTAGTTTGTTTGAGAAAAATAATACAAATATAAGAGTCAATGTTTATGGATTAGAGAACGGTAAGCAGATTACTGGACCGTTGTATAAATCACAATACAGCAAACGAAACAGAAAAACTGTAAATTTATTATTATTAGAGCAAGATAAGTTTTCTCATTATTGTCTGATTAAAGATTTATCTCGTTTAGTAAGACACCAAATTACAAAGCATCATGGTAAATTGTTTTTTTGTGATGACTGTCTTCTATTTTTTAGATCTAACGATGAAATAGAATCTCATATATGTGCTGGCGTAAAAACACAATTACCTCAAAAGGGTTCAGTAATCGAGTTTAAGAACTATGGTCGGAAACAGAATGTGCCATTCGTAATTTATGCAGACTTTGAAACCATGTTAGTCCCGGTGCAGGGGTGCGATGCTGACCCCCGCATCGCGAGCACCGTCGATCGTCAGCTACACGTTCCCATAGCATTCGCTTACTATGTAGTTTGTTCGTTCGATACCAGTAAAAATCGATTTGTGTCTTACCGTGGAACGGACTGTGTAGATAAATTTGTTGAAAGTATTTATTGTGACGTTCAATCGATTAATAGCCAACTTTCCCATACGGTTCCAATGATATTTAACGAGAAAGACGCAACTGATTTTAAAAAGGCTACTCGTTGTCATATTTGTCAACATTTACTATTTCATGACAGAGTTAGAGATCACTGTCATTTGACTGGAATTTATCGCGGAGCGGCACATAACTATTGTAATCTAATGTTTAAACTTCCTAAATTTATACCAATCTTCTTTCATAATCTTTCAGGTTACGACTGTCATCTTTTTATAACAAAATTAGGAGAAGCTCGTGGTGCACTTCGAATAATAGCAAAGAACAAAGAATCTTACGTTTCGTTTACAAAATTCATACAAGTGTCATCAGATGAATACGTACAGTTACGGTTTGTTGATTCCTTTAAGTTTTTATCAACCAGCTTAGATAAATTGGCCAAAAGTCTAACCCCTAGTCAATTTGAACATCTAAGACTTTATTTCCCTTGTTCAAAGCAATTCAAGTTACTCACACGAAAAGGTGTCTATCCATACGAATATATGAACTGTTTAGAGCGGTACGAAGAAAAACATCTTCCAAGCGCGGACAACTTTTACAACTCATTAAATAATGAGTCAATTAGTTCATCCGATTACCAGCATGCAAAGTTAGTGTGGTCTGAGTTTAATATAAACAACCTTGGCGAATATACTGATCTTTATCTGAAAACTGATGTTCTTTTATTGACAGATATTTTTGAAAATTTTAGGAAAACGTCGAAACGTCATTACCAACTCGACCCTGCATTTTATGTAACTGCTCCTAGTTTATCCTTCGACGCGATGCTCTTAAAGACAGGTGTACAATTAGAGCTTATTGATGACTTAGCAATTATAAGAATGATACAAGAAGGTATAAGAGGAGGCATATGTATGTGTTCGCATCGTCATGCTAAAAGTAATAACAAATATATGGCAGACTATGACCCACGAAAAGACGATGTATTTATTGTATATGTAGATTGCAATAACTTATACGGGTTTGCTATGTGTCAACCTTTGCCTTTGTCTGATTTCAGATTTTTAAATCAAGCCGAAATAGACAATTTAGAAATTACCAAAGTAAAAGATGATGACGATCACGGCTACATTTTAGAAGTTGATTTAATTTACCCTAAACACTTACACAGTATGCATAATGATTTGCCCTTTTGTTCAGAGAAATGCATTCCTCCTGGAGGCAAGACTTCTAAGCTTATCCCTAATTTATATGATAAATATAAGTATGTTATACATTACGTTCACTTGAAAAACTGTATTAAACATGGTTTAATATTGAAGAAAATTCATCGTGTTATAACTTTTCAACAAAAAGCCTTTTTAAAGAAATATATTGACCTTAACACAGAGCTTAGGCAAAAGGCCATCTCCACATTCGAGCAGGATTTCTTTAAATTACTTAATAATAGTATATTTGGTAAAACCCTTGAAAATAGTGAAAACCGAGTGNGCTTATTGATGACTTAGCAATTATAAGAATGATACAAGAAGGTATAAGAGGAGGCATATGTATGTGTTCGCATCGTCATGCTAAAAGTAATAACAAATAATTATATGGCAGACTATGACCCACGAAAAGACGATGTATTTATTGTATATGTAGATTGCAATAACTTATACGGGTTTGCTATGTGTCAACCTTTGCCTTTGTCACAGAATAAGTAATAGTACAGGTACAGAAGGATTACTCCGCAAGACGATTTAAATAAATGCGAGTCTTGCTACGACGCGATACAGTGGAATTCAGCTCGCACAGCACTACGTACCTACAATTTTATTCACCTACAAGTTTTGTCTCTTTCTATCGCGTGCCTCTGAACTCTTCTTACGCTGTTAGGGTTGCTGTCTAGTAGTGTCTAAGTAAAAAAATAATTAATATACTTATTTGTAATGAGGTACGTATGTAGGTAAGTACGCATTCATTATGGAAAACCTTGGGAGAGGCCTTTGTCCAGCAGTGGACGTCATTAATTTGCTGAAACGAACGAACGCATTCTGAGCAGTAGTCATGGTAGGTTAGGTTCCTAAACTATCCTAAGAATTATTGATTACCTACATGGCCAACATACCTTTCAGCATCTTTGGGAAGCGAAAAAAGAGATAAATCCGGTAGATTTCTTTTCGAATTTAAACACCCGAACGCCGCACAATAATATTTCTTTGTCTTTATGTCCATTTTGTAATAATACTTCGATCATAGAATTAGGTACTACAACGCACGCCAGCGTCCTGACGGGTGCGCGCGTGACACTCGACTGATATAATACCCGCCGCGGCGGGGCGCTTCGCTGTAGGTAATTATCGGATGTACCGCGCGGAGTGAGCCAGGCCTGCCTTTGTCTGATTTCAGATTTTTAAATCAAGCCGAAATAGACAATTTAGAAATTACCAAAGTAAAAGATGATGACGATCACGGCTACATTTTAGAAGTTGATTTAATTTACCCTAAACACTTACACAGTATGCATAATGATTTGCCCTTTTGTTCAGAGAAATGCATTCCTCCCGGAGGCAAGACTTCTAAGCTTATCCCTAATTTATATGATAAACTAGCGGCCGCCCGCGACTTCGTACGCGTGGACCCCGTGTTACCCTTAGGGGTGAAGTTTCGAGTTTTTTAGGGTTTACCCGGAAATTATTCAAACTTTTCTCGCTGTAAAAACCATCCTTGGACTTCAACAAACATTTAAAAAAAAGAATTGGTAAAATTGGTCCAGGCGTTGTTGAGTTATGCGCTTACCAACACATTTTGCGATTCATTTTTATATTATAGAAGATATAAGTATGTTATACATTACGTTCACTTGAAAAACTGTATTAAACATGGTTTAATATTGAAGAAAATTCATCGTGTTATAACTTTTCAACAAAAAGCCTTTTTAAAAAAATATATTGACCTTAACACAGAGCTTAGGCAAAAGGCCATCTCCACATTCGAGCAGGATTTCTTTAAATTACTTAATAATAGTATATTTGGTAAAACCCTTGAAAATAGTGAAAACCGAGTGAACGTTCAGTTAGTGAACCAATGGACCGATAGCAACAATAAAACAAAGAAAAAGTTAAGTGCCGAATCCCTAATTGCCCGACCTAATTTTCATAGTGTTTCTATATTTTCGGAAAAATTAGTTGCAATTCAAATGAAACCGGAAAAAATTGTTTTAGATAAACCTATTTACATCGGTTTCTCTGTTTTGGAATTATCTAAAAAACACATGTATGATTTTCACTATTCAACAATCCAACCTCATTATGGAGATCGTGTAAAATTATGCTACACTGATACAGACAGTTTTATTTATAAAATACACACTAATGATTTTTACAAGGATTTAAAAAACAATTTTTTACAATATTTCGATACCAGCAATTATAATCAAAGTAACCCATATAATTTATCACTTTTGAATAAGAAAGTACCTGGTCTGTTCAAAGATGAAATGGGTGGAAAAATAATAAGTGAATTTGTAGGGTTACGCCCGAAGTTATACTGTATCCAGTCTGAAAACGGTACGTTAAAAAAAGCCAAAGGCGTGAAAAAGTGTATTGTCCGAGATATGCATAAATCTGACTATGAAAACACTTTGATTAGAGGTAACTTAGTGCGTAAACAGAATCTCTTATTTAAGTCATTAAAACATGAGTTATTTACACGCAGCGTCAACAAAATTGTACTGTCTTCAAATGATGACAAGCGATTTATATCAAAAAACAAAATTGAAACCGTCGCTTGGGGCAATTGCTCAATTTTATGTTAAAGGGGCTGATTGAAATGTATGTTGGTTTTTATTTAAAAAAATAAAACAATCTTAGATATTAAAGGATAAACTATACTAAATAGTACAAGAAACGTAAAAACTTATAATTACTTAAAAACTAAACTTTAAAAATTACTTATAATAAAATATGTTATTTACAATCGTAGTAAGAGTTAGCTAATTAATTAGGTTAATATTTATAAGTTGATGTATTCATAAATAAGTATTAATAATTATCATGCTATTGTTTCATATGTATTGACGACTTAAAGTATTGACGAATATTTAAAATAAAATTAATTGATTTGAAAAATCTGTAAAATGTTTATATAAGTACTTATGTAATAAATAAATTAATTAAGTCATTCATAAACGGTTTTTTATTTACTTCATTCAGATCAAAACGCGTGCGCCTTACGTATTTGGGTCAACACCCACAAATTGCAAACCATGCAGTTTCGTAATGCGCTTTACTAAGTATATTAATTATTTCATATTTGCTTCACCGTTGTTTGGATTGACACGTTTAAACTTGAACTCTCTGGTAAGTGCATATTTAAAAATGTAAATACAATTAACTATTTTAAAACTGTTTAAATTTGTTTACTTGTACTCTCTTACTTGTGTATTTCTTTCCTTCTTGATTTCTGTACGGTTTGCAGTAGTGTTTTCATTATTATTATTTAAAATTTGGTTAAATTCTCAGATTTTTTTTCCAATGACTGTATTAATTGTACTTACTCTTTTGTGTATTACATTCCTTCTTGTTTTCTGTGCGGTGTGCATTATAGTGTTTGTTATTATTATTTTTTAAATAGTATCTCTTTTGTTACAGATAATGGCTGAATCGCAAGAAATCATATTTTCACAGTACGCTCAAGATCCTCTGGATAATTTTACTCAACAATATGAGGAAATGTTTAGTAAAATGCCGGCCAAAGTGAAGGTTGAAAAGAAAAACCGACAAAAACCTTTGAAGAAGAATGGTGTTTCGTCAAAATCATTTGTGATAACTAAAGAGCAGAGAGGGACGAAACTAATCCAAATTAAAATATTGGATTTGGCAGTGGATCAGTCGTCGAGGACGGTCTCAAACGGAGCCGACGGTGAAGAAGACGACAGTACGGTGCTCAGTGCTCAATACGTGGTGCATGATCCTGTGGATGAAATAATGGACCTCACGGAAACCTTAGTTAAGACCATATCCAAAAGATTGTGCGGTGAATTGTATTAGTGTTTTTTTATTTTAGTTTAAGACTGTTAATTATAATCTGTTATAAATAAAACTAATTGTATCTTGTACGTATTTCTATTATTTACCTAATTAGAATCAGTTGAATTTACATATGCTTGANTAATGTTATAGAGATGGTATACAATTACTTTTGATGCAATTGTGGACCCTGTCGGGCACATCATTTTAGGAGAGAGGAAGAATTTGCTGTCTGTCTCTGTGTTGTCGGTCTTCAAGCTTATACTGCTGAACTGATTTAAATGATAAACACATTTTTCTTGCGTTGAAGTCAACAACTATAGCAGATAACGGTAACATACCAGTTTCAGAAGCTAAAGAGAAAATAAAAAGCCAACCTTGGCTCGGCATATTGATCGTGAAGTATGATGACATGCGTCATCTATCAAATGTTGGCGAAAAAGGTCATTGTCGACTTTGCGAAAATGGCCAAAAAATAGTTTAATGCATATAATGTGAAATACAATTGATATTTTTTATGATTTTCATATAAAAAAATTAATTCTATAATATATCTCAATGTTATATTTAAGTACCCCTATTTGGCAATGTGGTAAATAAGCAACAATCGTTTTTCGCGAAAATACAAACCAAATATTTTTTTTATTATTTTTCTTAACTTTATTTCATAGTAACAATTAGGTCTAAATAGATTTTATTGAAAAAATCAAACAATTTGTGTCCTGCCAAATGAAGGGAGGAGAAATATCGAATCTTTCGATCTTATCATGTTAATTTACAAGTTTCTATAGCGTCTGTTAATTTTTTTTTCAGTTTTGTTCTATCCCATATAAATAAGATATCATTAAGTTACATAAAACATGCATGTATTTTCCAATACAGAGCAATGCGATTGAGCGTTGTTCATTTATTTTCAAGATCATCATCATCGTTCAGAATTTTGTACTACAATTTTTTTGCAGCGATCGAAGACGTAAAATCGACTCCAATTTATGTAATTAGTATAAAATGATAATATCCCAACCCTTCCCGCTCCCGCCTATGACCAGCGCCCAGCCCATTCGGTCTTCCGTCACAGACATTGACTCCGGCCCGCAATCGATAATTCGTTCGGTCACTCATTCATTCGGCGATCACTCGCGGCCACACTTTGTGCTAAACGGGGAAAGCTGGACGTAACTAGGGTTACCATCATAGAAGCGGCAAAAGCGGTAAAAGTGACACATTTTTGTCTGATCAATAAATACATTTCATTTAGAAGCCCTGTGATATCGGTGTGGGATTGCCATAACCGAATCGAGATCCGAGAAACGCAGGTTAGAACCCTGCGCCATTTAACTATTTTGATGAACGCACTGGTAACACACCTACTTGTACCATGAAAGGTTCTTACAAAAAAGCAAATAAATCAAAAACGCTCATAATATCACCAGATTAAATAAAACGTTGTTTAAGCCTGCGCGTTGTGTAAACTAAGTTTCAAATTCAAACCATTATTTATTTAATTTTTTTTACCATTCTCGTCCCTCTGCCAGAATTTATAAAGATTCCGGACATCTTTGCATAAATCTGGACGAGTGGTTACCCTATCCGAAGCCGATCTCCGCATTCGGCCATTTCCGCACTCCGATTGCGGTGCAGGCGCAGATTGCACACAAAATTACGACTAATCCACTGGATATTGCATCCGATTGTAGATTGTGATCTAGATATTGTGACCGTTAGATAAAAAAACTATCGAATGACCTTCCTATCGCGAATTTAATACACCTCGTACTTGGTTGTGGAATGGCCTACCATCTTCAGTGTTTCCTATTCAACACAATATTCTTAATAGTATTTATGAAATTATTAACATTCCTAAGACTACATTAATAAAGGCAGCACGCATCGACTTGCTTTCCCCTTCTATTCCTGTTAATTGGTAATGGTGATCGCTTACCACATTATATGACCCACAGGTTCGTTTACCTTCTCTTATAAAAACTATTTTTTTCGGATAATTAAGAGAAATATATTTTCACTAGATTTTACAATTCTTAATTACTCAAAGCCTGGTTTTGTAACCAAACTGACCTTTAAAGACTCCTAAGGAATCTACGTCCTACGTCCTTAGAGGCAACTCTGACCAGACCACACAGACTGCATCAAAACTCTTGTTATTCCCCACCTGCGCCCTAGAATGTAAGTCATGTAATCAATTGCCCTCGACGCTTAACGCCGGCGATTTTATGGTCACTACTTAACTAAAATGTTACTAGCATGTGTGTCGATTGAAGTAGGTAAGGTATATTAAGCTACTCTTGAGTGCCTTGGCTGGTACTTTTATAGTCTTGGCTCTAATAGCATTATCTTTTGCCTAGATCTTTGAGTTATATACTTCTCTCTCTTCTAAATTACGGTTGAAAGACTCCCAACATTTTGGTTTGTTAGAGTATGTATTTCATTTAACTATGTATGTATATTATGTGAAGATAAATCTTCCTTTTTAGAGACAGACTAGCGGCCGCCTGCGACTTCGCACGCGTTGTTCCCGTTTTACCCCCTTAGGAGTGGAGTTTCGTAAAATCCTTTCATAGTGGATGCCTACGTCATAACATCTACCTGCATGCCAAATTTCAGCCCGATCCGTCCAGTGGTTTGGGCTGTGCGTTGATAGATCACTATGTCAGTCAGTCAGTCAGTCAGTCACCTTTGAATGTAAAGATTAATTCCTTTGTAGATACAGATTTTGACGTCATCTTTCGTCTAACAAATCAAATAAGAGAGAAGGAATGTGTCTTTTCTATCACTTCTACAAGATGCGGAAGTGCTCAATCTGGACCCATCTTAACCAAGCAACTCGTCCATTAGTTCATTACCGGTCTAGTTAATGAACTAATAGGCCTCGCCATATTAGGTAAGCCTCCAGATTGCTGGACACGCTGCATAAGATTGCAAATTTTACAATCTGCATTTGACACAAATAGTTCGTACGTAAGGGCGTTATCACAGGGAGAGCTTGCTTTGCGAAGCGATTATTTTGTTGTATTTTCCGTCCTTTCTGATATCACTTTAAATAAATTTCCTGCTACAAGCATAAATTCAAATTCAAATTCTATATTACGCAATTTTCAAGGCACTTTTACACGTCCTAAATATAGCTTGCATAGAGCAAGCACCGCGTGAATACTCTTATTGACGTCAAAATGTATGGCCCAATTCGAGAAAATGGCGTGATGACCGCTTATCGCGGGGCGGATCCGAAGCCTACAGGTTTTGTTCCGTCAAAAAACCCTATCTTTTTCCAAAATAAGTTCTTGAAAATTGGTTATTTGATATTAGATTGCGTGAGTTCTATCGCTCCAACATCGCTTCTATCTCGCTCCAGAAGACATGTAAAGACGTCTTTACAGCTGTAGTCATGCGTGCGCTCCACATACGGCGTCCCGCCCACACTGCAATAGGGTCGCTAAGTTGCGGCCATCTGTCTCGGCTCGGCCAATTTACAGCTCTTGGGCTACTTCCACCGACGCCTGACTTGAGTACCGGCTTGGGAGGATATTCCTGTATACGCTTCGGCACATCCCTACCATGATCTGATCCAAAATGAACAATATTCTGCTTCTGTCAGGTGTTGAGTCACTGTAAGCGTTGTTCTGTATTAACATGCTTTACGAAGTACCGGAAGTGCAGGACCGGTTGTTATGGAAATCCTTGGAGGAGGCCTTTGTCCAGCAGTGGACGTCATTTGGCTGAAACGAACGAACGAAGTACTTACAGTCTCATCTTGGAAATGAACGGATTGGAGGGTCTGCCTCCGAATTTAGAGATTATTGGAGATATTTAGTAGTTAATCTGGGTGAGATAACTAAACAACATCATTTTCGCGAATTGACGAGTTTTACCATCCCCTAATTCTTCAAGGAGTCCCTCAGCATTTCCGAACCATTTGAACTAACGGCAGTTGAAAGTTGACCATACAAAGTATTTCATTGGTAACACTTTTATCAGGGTAATGAGATGATGTAGATGTCTTTAATACTTCCACAGCCCGAGGTTTCCAGCTACTGGGACCGCAATTAACTGGGACCGCGGTCCCAGTCGCTGGTTCCTTAAGAATTTAATATGTTTCTTCTAGCGAGTAGGACCACTCATAGATAACTTTAAGAAATATTCGTTCGTTCGTTCGTTTCAGCCAAATGACGTCCACTGCTGGACAAAGGCCTCCCCCAAGGATTTCCATTACATAGAAAAATATTATTCAAGCCAAAATCGGTACCTACAGTATTAAAATTCGTGAGTGGTCCCAGTCGCCGGAAGAAAATTATTGAATTTTTACGGATCCGGCGTTTAGGACCGCGGTCCTAATTAATTGCGGTCCCAGTCGCCGGAATCCTCCACAGCCCTATCTAGCCGCGCTATGCGCTGGATAAAAGTGATAATGAAGTGAAACTAGAAAGTTCGTTAACCTTAGGTAATCCATTACCGGCGACACTCCTGCACTGGACACGCCTGATTAGATATTCCGAGCGGGGGCGGTTTACACGGTGCGATTGATTTTTTTACATACTTCAATGCAACGATAAAAAAACGGTATTTAAAAAAACAGTTGAATAAAATAATTTAAGTAGGTAAAATGTTTTTTTATTACGCAGTGAAGTAAAGTAGGATAATGAGATGGTTGTCTTTGATTGAGTCTTATCATTCAGTGTTTGATTCGTCGTCGTTTCCGCCGAATGACGTCCACTGCTGGACAAAGGCCTCCCCCAAGGATTTCTACAACGACCGGTAATGTACTACCGTCCGCATTCAGGCTTCACTAGATCATCGGTCCACCTGCCCAAATTACGTCTTCCGACTCGTAGTCGCCACTCGAGAATTTTTCTGCCCAGCGGCCATTCAGCCTATTCTATTCTATGTTTTTAAAATTTATCTCGTACTTTCTATTGACATAGACCATAGAACAGTCATGTAAATTAATTTTAGAAGGGAATACAAATTCCTGGTACTGAATAAATGATTTGATTTGAAATTGAATTTACGTGACTC